AATGTGTATACCATATACAAATACACACGTACACAACCAATGTGAATCGAATGGAAAAGCAGTGGAATTTACGTCAATCCATTTCGTAGTGGTGTAGTCGTAGCTGCTGAACATCATTAGTTGATGCGATACTGCACAATATATTTATAATTCAACCCCATTCACATTGGCTCCAAACACACAAAACGGATATGGCATGGCATGGAAATACAACAGAACAGCGTACATGTTGTTGTTTTCTTCGTTTTATTTTATTTCCGTCTCTCACTCTTCGTCGCACTGTTTGTCTGTCGTCGCTTTGCCATACTATTACCGAGTGGAAAAGCATGTGGAATCGATTTGGTACATAGATTTGAACGTAAGAGATTTTCCCTTTCATCCAAAAAATGTTTTTTTTTCTGCATTCATGGTTGTTATCGTGAATGGCAATTTTTCAGGTCTATGTGAAATTCATGTGTCACAGAAGACCCAAATGAAATATGTTTCTCGATACGAATGATGCTTCGGCAGAGAGCAGAAAAAGAGCGAACCAAATATGTTCGGTTATCTCTTTTGCTCTTAAACCACCATGTTGTATGGATATTTTGCCGTATTTTTGCCTGACGAATAGCAATTGTTCAATGTGTCGTCTCAACTCATCCTCATTTTCTGTATTTTCCCAATGCTTTTATGTACGTTGTACAATTTGAACGAACCATTGACACATCAGCTCCGTGCCAAACATTGTTGCTAACGTGAAGCATAGCAGCAAAACAAGTTTAATCCATTGGCACACAATGGAGGGAGAGAAAAAGCTTAGCGCCTACACGAGCCAGCTTCCTCACCTTCACCAATCTAGATAACTACACAAGGCAACTTCTCGACACTGGCGAGAACAACAACAACAGCAACAGCAACAGCAACGACGACGACGATGACGATGAAAATATATTCGTTGTGAAGTTGTAAAGGGCATCTTTTTTACGAATATATGCTTCAAGAGTTGTGCCTTACACGTGTACTTCGTTTTTTTTTTTTCACTCTCTCATTCTCTTTATTGTTTGTTTTTTGTTGTTAGTTGACAAAAGAAAAAAAAATTGTCGGAATTCGTACAAATATAATGTCAATTCAAACGCAAATAAGTATTGACTGACTTCAGTCAGTACAATTGTACACCGCAGGGAATCAAAAGTAATTATGAATTTGTTATGTATATATAAATAGCGAAAAGAGAATGAATATCTTTGGTTTCATTGTGGAAATTATGTACATCGCAACAAACCGACATCTTCATTTGGAATTGATTTCATTCTTTTTCATTTCCATTTCAGCATATCAACACAAAATGACACTGAAGACAGCAACCGGATTAGATGGAAATAAGTTTTTCGTTTTCGTGCCATTTTGAGGCAGACAACAATGATCGCGCGCGCACCGCGTCAACAACAGAAAGCTGAAAGTTAAATGTGACTTTTTGTTGCAAAATCCATTCAATTTCGTTTGATGAAATTAAATGATTTTATGCAAGTGTTTGCACTTTTAAATGTCACACAACCGAACTTTCAATTCAAACTTGGCGTAGCAACCGAAAATGTCGTGCACTATGTATACCACTGTGATTTTTCTCATTAAACACATGAACTTTACCACATGTGTAGTCACATATTTAATGCCGTTCTTTGGTTGACTTTTTTTTCTTCCTTTCGTTCGAATTTCAACAAATTTTTATTTCTTTCTCTCAATTGTCGCTTCTTTCGTTGTATTTTTGAAATTTCGTTTGAGCCATCGAAAGGTTAAGATTTGACCCAGAAAAAAAAGTTTTACTTTTTATTTAGAAAAATGCTTGAAAAATATATTTTCATCTTTGGCTACTATAATACATCACATACAAAGTAAAAAGAATCGAATTCATTCGGAAAAAAGAAATCGGAAAAGAAATACGACGACGATGGTGAGCAATGTAGGAAGGAGAAAGAAAAAAAATGGATGATGGAAACCTTTGAATCAAATATCCATTTTACGTCTCAGTTGTCAAATAGGCAACATCAATTTCGCAGTTGAGAGCCAAGAGTGGAAGATGAAAAAAAGCACGTCCACACCGAATACATACTTTGATTGACAACGAATTCAACTGCACAATCGATTGCAGGAGCGAGTGAAAAACAGCGAAAAAAAGATGAAGAAAACGGCGAATGAGCCGGAAAATGTTCGACTGTAACGAAGCGAAATATTTCAATCACATGTTTCGCTTGTCACAAGAAAAACGGCACACACACACACACACACGCCAAAGTATTCGAAAGAAGTGAGCGGAAAGATATGTGAAGTATTTCAAAAACTAATCAAAAAGGATCACAACATGTAAATACAAGAAGGAGCACTATCTGAGATTCCGCCTACACAATGTAGACCATTTGGACACACACACACACACACACACACACACACATTCGAATGGCACTCGTGACATGATCGACCTTCGAAGATAAATTTCATAACCAATAACATTTATTACATACATACCTCTCGTTCACTCACCCACTCTCTTTCTCTCTCTTCGATATATGTTTTCCAAGAATAATAATACACTCCTAAAGAGAAAGTAATACCGTTTCTATTTTCGGACAATAAGCGAAATTGAAATGAATTTATTTTCAACATAAGAACACAATCGAGAGATTTCATCAAAATTTATTATTTTACGGGCTTCCAAGAGTTGCGTTCATTGTATCGTTTTTATCGATTAATCATTTGGTCAACCAATTACCTTTTCTTTCACCCCATATGTGCGATATTCCCTCTCTCTGTGTGTGTTTGCTAGGCTTCTGAATCAATCAGCACCAATTTTTTTTTTTTATTATTTATTTGCTTGTAAATAATTTATCATGCTGCACATAATGACATTTTCATGACAAAGTTAACCTCGTTGTTCATTAAAAAAAAAGAAACAAGAAATAAATGATGCACACAAGTACCGAAGCGTTATCGTTTTTACACTCTGCCGACAAAAACTTGTGCGAGAGGTTGAGAACTTTCAACATTGTTTCTCATATTTAGTTTTCACGTGCAGACTTTTTCAAGTCGGAAAATGTTCTCTCATTGTGTACAGACAGTGCAAAAGCTTTGCCTACAGACGAAAGCCACATAAATCAAATTACATAAAATGTATCTGCAGTAAATGCAGTCGCAGTTAGTGTGTGTGTTACACACAGGCACTTGAAAGAAATCTTCGGTTAACTTTGAACTGAAAACTGTAATCAGAAAGAGACAAAGATACAGAAAGAGGAGGGGAGGCTGAAAAATACAGTGAAATTTAGTCAAAGTGCGTTTTGTGGGTTAAAAATATGATTTCCACTTCGTAAAATATTCATAAGGTATTTTGTAACAAACGATAAAAGGAGACGTCCTAAGATAAGAAGAAGAAAAGGATCGAGAGAGGGTGAGCGGAACATGTAGAAAAAATATCGCCTCAAATGTGCGAATGCAGTGTAAAAACCATTAAAAATGAACTTCAAACGCCCTTAATAGAAGTAAAATATTTCGATTCAGCGTTTTCAATGCAACACGGCAAAAGACCAACGAAAGAACAAACGAAACAAGGAACAACAGCAGAGAGAGAAAGAAAAAAAAAACAACAACCAAAATGAAATAAAGTAACAAGACCAACTGAGTACATTTGAAAAAGTTTAAAGCCATATAAAATTGTGCGTATCACAGCACCACCGATGTTTATTTTTGGATCATATTAACTTCTTTCGTTGTTCGTTCGTTGTCATCGTTTCGATCAGCGAACGACACACAATATTAGCGTGAGCTGTGTGAAGACAATATGCTGAGCAAAGAGAGATACACAAACAACAAAACTAACATTTCGCATTGCATACGGATAATTCGCTTCTAGAATAAGAAGAAGAATAATAAGAATTGTGTATATATGTTGTTTTTTATATAACGCCTGACGATATAGTATAATGTAACATCCAATATTGAATGCTTTCAGAGAGTTGGCTTTGTTGTGTTTTTTTTTTTTTCGCTTTTTTTCTCTCGTTTTCTTTTTATCATCTTCTGTAAGTGTGTTGTGTCTTTTGTGCGCTGTTTATTCTCGTTTTTATCGTTACTCTTCGTCCGTTGTGTCTTCTATTCTCCGCTTCATCGATACGAGAGAGAAAAAAAAAGTACACACTATAGTAGTACGCTGCTGAGTTACACACATCGTTCATATTTCATTTGTTTCTTAGTAGTTTTTTTTTTCTTCATCATCATCTTCTTCTTGTTGTTTCTTTCCTTGTCTCTATGCATTCTTTCTCTTTTACTTCGTCTTCCTTTTCTCTTCGAAGAATACTATTTATATGTTATTTCTGTTGTGCCTCGTTCTCTACGCTCTCTAACAAATAATACCAAATTATGTATAGCAAAAGGTAGTCAGGCTATGTGTGTATGAGTGCTTGGTACGATATTGGCTCGGTTGGTTTGCATTGTGTTTGTGTCAAGTGTATACGTACGACACAAATCAGAGAAGTTCTGCTTTACGTTTTCTACTGCTGTTGCCTGCTTCTTCTTATTAATCATTTGTGTTTTTTTTTCGTGTTCTTTCTTTCTTTCCTTTTCATTATTATTTACGACGACTTGGTCCGTGCGTTTCAATTCTCAGTGTAGTAAGTCGTCTCTCTTTCCGTTTATCGTATCCAACATATGTGTTGGAGCGGCAATGGTGTTACTGCTGCTGTTGCTGCTGCTGTTGCTCGTGAGAGATTCGTAGTAAATTGCGGTAGACATTGCCGGATAATGTCTCACACGAGAGCGATTACGTTATACAACGATACACCGAAGCGGAGCGAGACAGAGAATGTGTAAGATATTGTATGAGTAAGTGAGTGGTTGCCGCACGCGATCTATTTGACTGTGTGATGATGCGTCGTCGTTGTCGTCTACGTCGTGTTGTCGGAATGTAATGTGCCGATATTGTATGAAAATGCATTTGTGTGTTTTGACTCCTCGTCAATCGTTCAGCTGGTGTGTGCGTTTCAGTTGAGTTTTGAACGTTCAACAATAAGTCTCGGTCGATCGATGTTCGCCGGCTATCGATTGTAATCGCTCGCCAAACTCATTCTCGTTTGCCGATTTCGTATCGTGTCAGATTTTGTGAAAAAGGAATTTTTTTTTAAACTTATATATATATAACAACACACAGTCTTCATTTCCTATTGTGTATTCATCGTTGGTGATTTAAAAAAAAAAGACGAGTTTAAATTGTAATTTAAATTTATAATAAATTTATGCCAATTTTTTTTATCTTTCAAAAAAAGTCATTCGAAAAGATTTATTTGAAGCAAAAAAATAAACAAGATTAAATTCATTTGTGTCGACCACGTCGCATTTATTCAAAGTGCTGAGAAAAAGAATGTAACATTTTATGCAAGCAAATAAGAGAGAAGAAAAAAAAACAATTTTAATGCCTACACAATAAATCAAGAGCCGAAAAAAATAATTCTTTTTTTGTCTCTATGTAAAAACTTGAAGAATATTTCAATTGTAGAGAGAACAGTCATTTGGCACCGAAATCAATGGATGGTTTAAATTAATGAACAAACGAATATGGAAATAGCCATATCGAAAAGAAACTGCAGATGCAATTAAAACAAAATTTATTGAGCTAAAGTGTGCGTGTATATATAAAAAAAAAATATTTTCGAAAAAATAAAAAAATAAATAAAAATCTGGTGTAAGAGTGAGTGTTATATCAACGCAGAGCGAACAACAACCACAAATTGAATAAATTTTATTGCCGTCATCCCAAGAGGAACCCCGTTAAATTAACTCCATTCTGGCCAACCACATTATTCTACAACTATTTTTCATATTTATTCTACGTAAGTACCAACATTTTTCTCAGCCAATCAGTAGAATCTGACAGTGTTTTCAGTTTTTTTTTCCGAATGTGCTTTACTTTTCAATTTGATGTTATGCGACCAAACGTATACATTTTTTCGTTTCTGTTCTGTGATTCATTTGAAAAATTTATATATATATTTGTAAAATTCATGTGATCATAAACGGTAACCATTCATTCAATGCAAAAAAAAATTTCATAGTCGATGAATTAAAAACGAGCGAGAGAAGAAAAAAAAATAGAAGTTTGCCAACGATTTGCTTATCACCATTCGAATCGCCGATGACAGAAAAAAATCTGTTAAATGATTGTGAATGGCGCTGTGCGCCGCTTAATGCGATTCAAGCAAGAGGTAAATGAAGCCATGCCGAACACAACAAAAAAATCTATATAATATAAAGCGCTGGTTAGAATTCGGTGAATGTTTATTTTCCGTGTTATTTCATTCGGAATTAAAAATGCTTAATTTGTACCCCGTCGCCGGTCGCCAATATATTTCCAACAGGCGTTGCTGCCTGTCATTGAGGTGTATGCGGTTATTTTTGCTCGTTTTCTTTCAATCGCGCTATATATTTTTTTTTCTCTGCTGTTTCTTCACTCTCGTAATATTTGTGTTTTTTTTGTACTCTGTCGTTGTACGAGCTGCTCTTAACTGACGAAAAAAATCTATTCAAACACACAACGTATTAATGTCACACACAAACAAACGATGAAGACAGCAAATAGAAAAAAAAAATTCACTTCATTCCTTTTTGCACGACCGCATAATATGGTAATATATATATAAACACAACACGACAGCACCGAACTCTTGTTCTCGTTAAACAAATCAAACGCTTAAGGAATTCGTTTTCGTTTCATACAACATATATATATATATTCAAGGTCATGACTCAAGCAGAATATGAAAAAAGAAGCATAATTTTCTCTCTCTCGTTCTCTATGCTCAAGTGCAAGAAGAAAAGGCGTCGATTCACAAAATTATGAGAAAAACGGCGAATAAAATGCCAAGAGAAAATCGATGAATGATGAAACAAAAAAGTCCATCATCTTTTTTCCCCTTTCCGTTCCCGGTATTTCGCTATCGTGCAGTTTATTTTCTTTGGCAAAAACAGAACGTTGCACATGAAATTAACTGCTTTATAACCCAACGAACAGAATGAAGAAGAATAAAAAAAAAAAACACACACACACACACTCAATCGATATGCGGTTAAATCTAGCATGCGATTTTTATATCGATATTAATATGCAAGTATAGTATATGCGACAGCCCATTCAATCGGCGGACGAAAAAAAAAATAACAACACACATATAGTCGCTCACTCAAGATATTTGTATGTTTGCTAGAATAATATACATATTGTAATTCAAGTCAGTGCCACCAACTCCATCGCCACCGACGCTGACACCGTTGCTGTTGCTGTCGTCAGGTTGGCTTGGTATTAGTTGCGTGGTTAAAGCAATTATATAATACAGTGTATAATAAAAAAAAAATTGTTAGTCATATTGGCTCTCTTAGTGCGCCTGGCGTAAGTCGTTTCCATGTGACGACGACAACGATGACGATGAATGAGGCGAAAAAAAAACGAAACATTTTTTTTTCTTCAAATATATACGAACCTATATGGAACCAGAACTAAAGAAACTAAATCTAGTTCTCCTTAAATAGAAAAACGGTGCTCATGGCACTTTATTAATCACAAAATGGTTTTTTCTAATTTTATGACCAAATATATAAGTTAATCATTTAAATAGAGATACTGTTGAGTGCACCGCGATAGGTGTCATTGTCATCAACGGCGTTTGTTCTTCAAATTGCTTTTACGATATTTGTCGCAGTGTGTCTTAAGACATTGTAATCAATCATTTTAAATTCCATTCACGCACACACGCACACTCTCAATGGCAACTAAACCATATATATATTTATAAAGTTGCGTGCTCGCTTCGTCATTCTCGTTGCTGTCGCTGTCGTCGTCGTCGTCGATTAAATGATGGGAAATTAATTCATCAAGTGATTAATATTCCATTCAAGTTCTTATTGTGTATTTTGTCTCAATCTCTCTTTGTTTTCATAATTTGTGCCATTTTTGTTGTTATTACCAAAAAATTCATCAAAATTTTCAAGTAAGGAACGTAATTATATACACTCTGTCACAATCAAAAGCAGAAGTGAATGCAAAAAAGAGAAAACAACCGTATCAATAAATTGCGTTGAATAATGAGCGTGTACACAATGGATAAGAGGAATTTCATGTCCAAAAAAAAAATTACGATTCTCGGTTGTTGTTGATGAAATGAATACATACGGAAACAATTTAGAAATGGGACATGAGACGCTCACAAGAGGCGAAAGAACAGCGCGGATAAATTAAAAAATATGCGAGAACAAGAGCTCTATGAATTGAAAATTATATAATAAAAATACTTAAAATGCTCTCTCTCTCTCGTTCTCTCTTCTACCTCTTGCCTGTTTAATCTTGTGTATACATTTTTGTATCGTGTAACGTCGTTCAAGTCAACTGCAAACACCTACATGCCCGTTTCTGTTACCGTCGTCGCCGTCGCCGCCGTTGCTGCTGGTGCTGCTTGTTTTCAATCGCTGTTTATGCTCTTCACTGTTTGTTCGTGTTCATATTTTTAATTTGACATTATTTGGCTTAGTAACGTGCACAATTGCCGTGTATTCTTGGATGTTTATTTTTTGCTCATTCAATTGCAATTTAAATTCTATGATGATAGACATTTATAAACTGACCTCCCTCTTTCGCTCGCACATTGCACCATTATTGTATACTTGTTCATCTGTCGCACAGTCAGATCGGATTTATATAGTTGTGTATCGACATTGTTTTTCATGAATCGAGCGAATTCTTTCTTTTTTACTCGCAAGCTATACTTTGCTTGAATCGTTGTCGCTGTTATCAACGAAGCTACTCATGGATCATAGACAAAGTGACTATATCATATATAGTTATACATATAAGTATATATTCATTATTCAAACGGTTAATTATCACCTTTATGTTTTGCTGGTAAATAGCGAGAGAAAGAGAGGAGAGGGCGAGAAAAGGAGAATCAGCGAGTTGAATTTTCGATTTGAGTCTGTTGACATTCACAGCAAGATAATACATACACATTTTCGATTTTTGCTGATGATGTATATAAATTGTAATAATTATCAACAAAAAAACATGTCTATTTTTGCTTTTAAAGCTTGTTTAAGATATGGCCACTTGACAGAATTGTTTACATAGACAATAATTGATCAGCACATTGAACGGTAATTGACGAAGCGAATCAAATTGAAATAGCAATTATTTCATTGAATACAAATTTGGTAGTTTTCATTCGTATTTATCGAATTATCGAAAAATAAATACACTTAGAACGTTATTACGTAATTTTTAAGCCTGTTTCCATGGCGAATTTTCATTATGCAATGATTGTTATTATAGCGAAAATGTAGAGCATTAAATTTCAATATAAAATACCACAATCATCCCCGTTGACGAATATCCAATCAATATGAGTTCATTTATCGATAATAATATGCTTTTTGAGCTGACAGATGATTCCCAAGGCTGTAGTCATCTGCCACAATGGATTTTCATTCGGGATTTTTTCCAAATTATACAATCGCTTTTATGCCATCGGACTACACCGTATCACGGCCCAAATTGATCCATTTTTACCCCCACAAATTTGTCACGTGAAAATAAGCAGAAAAAAAAGCGAAAGCAAAGAAAAAAATGACTTGAAAAATGTCAAGAATGACAATTCATTGGCAATTAAATTCCATTTCGACAAGTTTCAAATGACATAATTGCCGAAGTTATGCAATAAACTCATCATTTTATCGTATACCATTTCTTCATTTTATTGATCCACTCTGGTCGATCCACATTTTTCGTATTTGGTATGCTCATGCTCAAATTTCACCGAAATTACATCGAGGCTTAAACGGTACCTTTAGTGCATCGTATCAGGTTACACATAACACCGCTTGCCAATTTTCTTCGGTTCTTCCAATTTACTTTCTTAAATTGAAAGTATTAGAATATATACATAGTAAAATGGGTCATTAAGTGGCATTGATTGTTCTACAAACAATAGACCGAAAAATGCCAAATGACCATCCCAGAGAAGATGGGAAAAAAACAACTTTAACAACAAACCATTTTTTGTACTTTGTATCTCAATAATTCGTATGCTCGACATCATTTTTCTTGGGAAAATCAGATACAAAAAAAAACACAAACCTTGTTAGTTGTGTGACTCACAATTTTGTTAGGGATAAATGGGAGAATGAGAGAATTTGAGATAAAACGAAAAACTTTTGTCCTTTCAAGATGTGATTCATTAGGCTAAATCATTTTTTACACTAAATCTATAATCCATTTTATGGTTCGACATCATCATCATTTCTCTCTTACGCACTCACACACAAAAGACTCGAGTGTGTATTGTTATTTGTGACTTTGTTTTCGTTGTTGTGATTTTTCTACCTGCTTGCGCCTAAGCATCACTGAGATTGTGGTCTCAGGTGTTTGTTCGTTTTAAATTTGATTATTTTGTATGTGAGTTCAAAAGACGAGTGTATAATTATTTACAAATGTGAGAGGTAAAAAAAAAAACCGGACCAAAAACTCATATTGATATTGAAAAAAAAAACAGGCTTTGCCAAATGATCGTTTCACAAGAAAAACACAATCTTCGAAAACTGATAGTTCACCCAATTAGTAATATAAATTAGAAAGAAGATGAAAATTTGCTGGCGGCAAACAAAACATGTTTTTACATTTAGTGAATCAAAATGCGTGCATATCAAAACAGCGATAAATGACTAATGATTTCGTTACGAATATAGAAAGAGCGGGAGAACATTAAATTTTTAAATCGACGTAATTTAAATGATTTGGGATAAATGATGGTGAGTGTTGAGTTTCATTCGATGAATTAATTTCACTATATATTGTATTGGATGCGATTGAATGTATTACGACAGCAAAACAACGAGATCAACAAAAAATCAATACTAATGAAATTCTAAAGGAAACAAAAAAAAGAGAAATGAGAATAATATGTTTTTCGTTCGAAGAAAGCGAAAGCTTGATGCAACAACAGGAACATGAGCACCAATGTTGATTATCTCCAAACATTTCAGATATAAAGTCATACGTTTTCGGCGTCGCTTCGCTTCGAACATCGAATTTAACTCACAGCGACGTGTCAATGTAGATTGTGTGTTTTCATCAGATTGATATTGTGCGTGACGTAATTGGGCATTTTATTCGATCGATAGAATGATACGGTCTGTGTTCAAACTTTGAAAATTCCATTTCAATGCAATTAGCAATTGTTATTGTATTTTCCAAACAGTTTCAATTTTTATCATTCGTTATCTTAATGGATTTTGAATTTTAATATTATTTTCCCTACATCATCCATCACCACCATTCACACGGACACATACACGTGCAGCATGTTTGTATGAGCGTCGCCGTTTTGTTTCGAATCGTTTTTTCCTTCTTATTTATTAATTCATGATAGCTTATTTAATAATTGAGTCCGATTTTAAGCCGAAATCAAAATGATTCATTTTCATATACATACACTTTTTTTGGGATGATATTTATTAACTGGTCAAACACATGAATTGATTTTTTTTGTGCTCGAAATTTTTATCATAAAATTCGTCCTGTTGCCGGGGTACACACAATTACCGAAAGTGAAACAAAAAAATGTGAATGGGTGATAAAAAAAATATGCTTTTATTTGAAACGAAATAATTAACATGTTGAAGCACATCGGTAGCACTGTATTTAATTAATCACAAACATGACCTGATGATGATGGCGGTGCCGATGTGGACGATGAAAGGACAGTACGAGACTCGAGCCGCACACAGATAACACACCAAATTAATTCTATATTTATCACATGAATATTACGTACATACGACGTCGAATGAAAATCAATGGACATTTCACTCATAAAAAATGCATATGTCGTCAAACAAACAACATACACACACGACGATTCGATCAAAATGGCCTGATAATAAAGAATTTGAAATCTGGTTGACCGTACTTTTATATTCATTAAACATTAAGGTAGACTGATCATGTCACGCTGTTTGACATTGCTTTCGATGAAAATTAGAAAATGAATTGATGATGAAAAACGAATGTGTCAAAAAGAGAGACAGTACGGTGCCAATGATAGAGAAAGAGAAATAATTCACTCAAATGCAAATGTCTATATGTGGTTTGACCAATATAATAATTTTATTATTAACAACAGTGATTTGATTAGTGTTTCGACGATAAAAACGCATATCTATCCCCATCAGTTTGTGTCCATTTGTTCATTGATTGAGTGCGTCATCAATCAGATCGGCGTGAGCGTAAGTGCGCGCATACACATGCCCAATCAACACAACAGCGGAATGAGCCGCCAGTCAGTTTTAACAATAATTGGTGTGCCGTCAATGAATTGAAATGGCATATCGTTTGTTTAATTAGTTTGTGTATGGCGAAGCTCGAAAATAAATTACACAACAATAATTAGAAGAAAAAAACGTATTTTGGCAACAAATCTCACTCTCCCTCTCCGAAGACACATTATTTCGAGGAAATAAACGAATAGACGCTTACAAATTGCAATGTATTTAGTTTATCTGGCACGTCGCTAGGCACTTGGCGCATCATGCAAATCAAATGCAAATTTATTCTACGTCATCGGAAATTTTCATACTAAATCATAATATAAACAGAGTGCGCGGCACGGCGAACGAATGAGAAAAAAAAATAACTTGCAAGAAATAGAGTGGGTGTGTGACTAAAATGAACGAAATTCCGATTGTGTGTAAAAAAACTAACGAACGAAAAAGAAAAATCGAAATAATTGTGAGCGTGAGTATGAGCAACGTTGAACGAAAACAAAGAATCGCATTAAAAAAAATTGGTTTTGCTTTATTTTGTCGTATCAAAAGTTTCTAAATTTATCCATACATCTTGCGGCGACATTTTCTCCCATTTCTCAGCACAATCGGGGCTCCGATTTGAAATGTATATACAAAACTCGGACAAAATGTTTGTTAACAAATGACAAACAAATTAATTTGAACATTGTTTTTCATTCAGTTTTTTTTTGTATGGGTGTGCGAGTGTTTGTCGTGTCAAATATAAACATTTCGTGGACAGATATGCAGTTTCGTAAAGCGGAAATACCATTTCATTTATTGAATGATCCTTCGGGCGCTACAAAAAGATACACATCAATATCGCGTTCATATCGAGTGAGTGAACTCATTCAAACGCTAAAATGAAATATAATCATGCCGAGAGAGAATTTCTCGAATTTATTTTAACACTACGATTCATTCATTCGGCGATGGCGAAATCATCGGTATTTTCTCGTTCATTTTCAGATTGAGGAAGAAAGAGAGAGGGGGAGAGAGAGACGTCCATATGAAATTTCATCATTTCACACACTACGTAAACAAATCGTAGAATATTTCTTTTTTTGTTAATAATCGAAAAAGTTGAAAATCATGTGAAATGTAATATGTTTCCATTGAAAAAAAAGCCAGTCATTTCATTGTAATTGAGTGTATTAGTAACATTTTTTTGTGTGCATTCACGAAACACTTTGTATATACTTTTCAGTTTTGGATATTACTATAATGCTGACGGATTTAGAATCATTTTCCGATTGTTTTTGTTTTTTTTTCTGTGTGTTCTGTTCATTCTTCTTTTCTTCCAAAACGCAAACATTGTTCATTGAACAGAGTTGGTGGCGGCGGCGGCAATAGCGGCAGCGATGGCGACGATGAAAGCAGAAAAGTCGGTTAGCAACAATTACAACGAGAACAACCGATGAATGACATAAAACATATGACAAAAACGTACTAATTGTGAATTTGTGTTTTTGGAGTGAGCACGCCCGTAATGATGATTCTTTTTTTTTTTCTTCTCTGATGCAGTTTGCGTGTGTCGAACGATCAAGTGGTAATAATGGTGAATTGTGCGTGGTTCAAAACCATTACTAATGCACTCTTGCAATGAATTTTAAATGAACAAATGCTGACATCAAAACAAGCTTTTTCATGAATGATCATGAACTCATGATTCAAACGTAGTTATCGCGTCGTGTGAGTGTGTACTATTTCGGTCGATTTAAATGTGTACATGTCGGTTTTGTTTTTTCCATCATCTTCATTGCATTAAAATAGCCTTTGACAAATCCCATAAAACTGTTCTCGTCTCCTCTCTCCTCGTATCGCATGTATGACACGATTTATTTACACTTTCTGCTGTTTCTTCGTTTCGTCTCTCGGTTCATAAATTTAATTGTTTGTTGCGTCGGTGCTTGCATCGAATTCAGTAAAATTTCCTTTGTTTTCGAGATATGCATGGCAAGCGACAAGCTTTTTCCATTCGAAACAAACAAACAGAACAAAAAAAATACTAATATAAACAAAAACATACATTTGGTAGCCAGATGGCTCAAAGATTCACTATTCTCGTTTATAAATATTTATTTAGAAAGAAAAACGCAATCAAAATGAAAACAAATCCGCATTATGAGCGAGTTGTGTGTGTGTGCGCGCGCCTTTTTTTCCCTTTCTGTTTATTTTTTTGTCTCGGACAGAGTAATCCAAGTCGGTTATTTGTTGTTTTTCGTCTCGGTCAAATAATGCAAACGTTATTAGTTTACCGATTTAACAATGATAAACAGTGTGCAAATACGAGACGATCAATCGATCGAGCGTGAAGATGAAATTAATGCTGTTTTTGTTCTGGTCGAACGGCAGATTCGACCTTGGGCAAACATTACACTATTTATTATTTCTCATGTTATTTGAGCTAAAATGTAATGTTGAAATGTGCACTAGCAATTAATTCGGACTTTTTTTCTTGTTTAAGACGTGCTACCGTTGGGAGAAGTCAAAATGTCTGTGAGACGAATGCCTGTTCTCTTCATCGGTCATGGTAGTCCGATGAATGCATTGGAAGAAAACGTGTATACCAAGCTATGGCGTCAATTGGGACAAATGTTACCACGTCCAAAGGCAATTCTGGTGATTTCTGCCCATTGGTACATTGGACGTACAGCCGTTACGGCAATGGAAAAACCACGTACCATTCATGATTTTGGTGGATTTCCACAGGCACTCTTTGATGCCCAATACAATGCACCCGGCGCACCGCAATTGGCGCAAAAAGTGGCTGACTTATTGGCACCGGTGTCGGTGACATTAGACAAAGATTGGGGTCTCGATCATGGCGCATGGAGTGTACTAATCCAAATGTATCCAAATGCTGATATACCCGTGGTTCAATTGAGCATTGACGCCAGCAAATCACCACTTGAACACTATGAATTGGGCCAAAAACTTAACGCCTTACGCGATCAGGACATATTAATTGTTGCGAGCGGAAATGTTGTACATAATTTGCGTGCACTTAAATGGCGTGACGATTCGGAACCATATCCATGGGCACAATCGTTTAATCAATATGTGCGTGACAATGTGAACTGGAAAGGTCCGGCCAAAGAGCATCCATTGGTTAATTTTATGAAACATGAAGGGGCCAAACTTTCAAGCCCAACGCCAGAACACTATTTACCGATATTGTATGCGCTCGGTACTCGCCAGGACGATGATCCCGTTTCCCTTCTCATTGATGGCAATTTGATGGGATCGTTGAGCATGTTGTCGGTGAAAATTGGTTAATAGCATTTTACGCCGGATAAATAATATCGGTCATGATTTCGTTTTTCTATTTTTTTCCCAACATTTTTGCATTATATCAGTAGCTTCCATTATCGCGTATTACTAACTTTAGCATGATGCCACTTTCATAAAAATGTTTACACATTTTTTTCTATTTGAACACCCCAATGGTCAGACGTTATCAATCTTTTCATTTATCCGGCGTAACTGTTAGCCGAATTGTTGGCATCGGATGACGCTGCTAATTAATCATCACATGCAAATGTTCCTTACATCAGTTCAGTTTTTTGGTTTCGAACATTCCAGAGCAGCATTTTCAGTTACCATTCTCTACACTAGCCTTAACCAATTTTTGTTGAAGTTTAGACAATTTGAAAAGTTCCTTAAATAAAATGTATTTATACATCAATGATTTGCATTTTATTTTGAAAATATTCAATAATCTTGCATCTTTAATGTCACCACCATCATTGAATTTTGTTTAACAGCATAATAATTTTTTTCATTTCAAACGGAATCTATTCTTAGATTCGGAAGTCATAATAGTCTATTGATTGTAATTTTGTCTCTTTTATCCCTCATGAATATATATCTCTCTATCGTAAAAATGAAATTATCACAATAAATATTTTCGGTCTATTCAACGTTTTATACGTATTTCTTAACCAAAAAAAATCAATGCATTACAATTTGTGTACAACTGTACTGTTGTCGACTGTCAAAAGAGCGAGCCAGAATTGAGACACGAGTTAAAAAAAAAATATTAATCTCATTTGTGTGGCTGTTGTTGTGAGCGCACGGGCACACGGTCGCACTGTCGCGCGCGCACTCATCACAAACGAGATAAATAATTGATTTTGTGCCATAAATAAATGGATCATTTTTTGTTGTTGCTGCTGTTATTGTTGATGTTTGTAGAAATTGTTTATAAATGAATCGATGTGTATTTAAACTTTGAAACGATGCGCGTGATTGCAAACAAACGATTGAACGAAGTAAGAGAAAAAGGGAGAGTGTTGTATTTGCAGTATTTCAATGTAAACAGTTCTTTCAAAGTGCAATCAGATAATCCGATTTTCGAGCCATAAAACTTCTACTCCCGATATTTTATGGTTTTATGTAGCACAATTTTATGCACACTATTAATTAAATTCCGTTTTCGCTATTTTTATTGCTTGCCCCAATTGAATACATTGCACATGATGTTGCCCTGTTCGGGTATTTTTTTCATCTTCATTCCTTCCATTCTTTATTTCTCTCTCGGCTGCTCGAAAAAGTAATCACTTAATTCAGGATGATGCCTTACTCTCTCTATCCTTCTCATTCTGTGTATGCCTGTCTGCTTGAGTAACGTGTGTTTACTTTGTATTTTGGGAAAGGACGAGCAAATAAAATGCCTGAAATAGATTTATCGCTGTTTAGCAATAAATTCCTTCAATAAAAAAATATATACTCGAAACGATTATTGCAATTGTGTGGCATTTTGCTACATTATTTTTGATATTCTATCTTTTGTTTTTGCCAATTGGTCATAGCGACAGCAGCGACAGCAAATTGACAATAACGACCAACGACAAAGTACTACAATATTTTCGAAATAAAGAAATCGCTAATTAGCAAAATGTCCAAAGATGACAAATCAAAATCACAAACAGAATCCAATTACATAATTTGACCATCTGATTTTATGCTTGCTAAATTCGATTACAATTCGATACTACTGAATGGCATGTATACGACATTTATGCAATTCGGTATGTTCGACACCATCTGTGTTGTTTTCGTTGGTGTACTCTCTCTCTCTCTCTCTCTCTCTCTTTCTCTGTATTTGTTCGCATTTCGTGACTTCTCTAAGCCTCTGTATGTGCGCCCTCTCTGCCTCTCTTCCCGATACAACCGATTTAAAAAAGTGAACAAGCGACCATACGAGAAGTCGTACAAAATGAAAACATATTCTGCAATATTGCTTGTATGCTTCAAATAAAATTTACTATGACTGGGCAGTTTTTCGACTGTATTTTATTTGCTTCGATTGAGTTTTGCAAGCAGAGAACACACAACACATTAAACCACAACAAAATACAATAAAATGAAAATCATTCGATTTGAATGAAGGCATTGAGAAGCGTGTGCATAGTGAAACTATAATGATTGCTATGTGATGGCGACGACGGTGGTGGCAGCAGCAGCAGCCCGACGACAACGACAATAATCAAATGTAATCAAACCCAATGAATAAATGAATGTAAACATATACAGGAAACCCCTGTGCTGAAGTGAAAAAAAGCTTTTAGAATGGAATGAACCATTCATCTAACATGACATGGACAAAACGTGAAACACACAAATTCAAAGTCAATTTTCAAATCGTACACACAATGATTGTTCTTTTGTTTCTCTCTCACACACATTCGATTTATTGGTTTCGATTGGTTTCACGCGCTAGGACACGCGCCTCTCGTCGTTTCAAATCATTCATGTAACATAAGCTTGGATTTTAAAACTTGTCAATATTTTTTTTATGCTGGAATAATAAAAAGAACACGGTGATGCTTCTATTTTTAGTTTCAATAAAAATGAATTCCGTCTTGTCAATGCAATCAATCGATTTCCACTGCAGCATTTCTATTTACATAAAAATTAACGTGTTTTATATCCAGACATCCATTTGCACCGGTCCTGCATACCGGTATTTACTGCATTTGGTTCCATCTCGTTCTCTCCATCTCCATCAGTTCTATGTCACTTTCGAAATATTACCGATTTTTAATTGGAATCAATTAGACAGGCAAAAATGATCAATTTGACTGCAAAATAATAACAATAATTTAGCACGTTTTCATAACAATAAAGTCACACCAGATTATATCGGGTTATGTGTAGAGAGAACCGTCTCAAAAACTAAATGAGGGAGAAAAATGGTTTTGAATAAAAAAAAAGCGAAAAGATATGACGAAAATGGAAATGGCAGTTCGAGAACAAAAGGAAAAAAAATGACTTTCACGGTACGACCTCTGATATATGTGTGTGTGTTTGTTGTATTTTCCACTCGTCAAAAGATCGACACGATAAAAGCAAGCTTCAAACTATAGCATAACAACGAGCTACGCCAAACAAACGAATTCAAAATGTTGTGTGTACTATACACAATGCGCCTCACCACTGTTAAGCACCGATATGTGCCGAGACAGAGCGTTAAAAATGAGTGGCGAGATATCGAGAGCGAAAACGAAAAGAGAATGAATGTTGTTGCAAACGAAGCACATAATAGACTTCGGTTCACAAAGCGACTAGAACAAATAAAGCGAAGGAACAACAACAGCAACAGCAACAACAACAACTACAAAAAATTATTGTAAAAAGCATCGCTCTCACACACAAAACTAAATGGCTTATTGCTAATGCTAAACGATACTCACATTTCGAATGTGAATAGAAGGCTTTTGTATGCGCTCTGTCTCGCACACAATGGAGACCGTGTCATGTAATCATGAAAGAAAACCAAGAAGCAAACAAAATAAAATAAGCTCACAACCGCACAGTGCCAGAGCATTGAATATGTGCATGCATGGAACGTCGTATCATTGTTGATTATTCAAGCGCTGGATTTACACTATTCTTCTATAGATATATAGATAAATCTATCAATATAGTGTAGCATATAGTTATATTCTAGGCACGACCAGCGTTAAACAAGCATTTCACACATGAATCAACATAAATGCGCTGCAAACACACATCACTTCCAAATAGTTTTTAATGATGGAAATATGTTGTGCATTAAAATCACTCTATCCACCAGTCGTTAATATATATACTATATATGTATAGTTTCCGTGCTAACGTGTGTATAGCCATAGATGGTGCAAATAGTACATATGTGGAAATGTGCTTTGGATCCCTCATTCGATGTACGTGTGCATGAATCGAGTGATAGGCATTATAGCTAGGTTTCATTTCATAGTGGCAACAGCAGCAGCAACGGAGGCAACACTGCGATTCACAGCTTCAACAAATGAATGATATTAATGGTAGTGGTGCTGCTGCTGCTGCTTGCAAAAGCCACAGCTCATTGTCGCTTGTTCGCGAGCCGCACACACCATGCAATCAATTGTATGCAATCTACACAAGTGCATTTTGTGCTCTCCATAAGCACACTCTATAACAACAGAAACCATCATACATACAATACGTATACGGCGTTGCTCCCTCTTCCTCTATTTGCCATTCAGTTCACCTCTATTTCTGGAATGCGAACGAAAGAGCGCGGAATTGGATTATATATTTCGCTTATATGCAGTGGCGTGTGTTTTTTTCTCTTCTTCTCTCTCGGTGTCTCTGTCTTTCTGTGAGTTCTGGCCTTGGCCATGACATTTTATTATGCCGCATATACATGCATGCATCCACATACAATCACATTCATGCATACACGCGCTCATACACAAAAGCGATCATTTCACCATTCATCATCGTGGTCTCGTCGTTGTCGTGTTGTTGCCGTTGGTATTTTGCTGCGTATCTTCCGTCCATTAGATAAAGATACGTATGGTGAATGGGGGCCGAATGAGCGCACGAGCACCACTTTTTTTGCTTGCTATATTATAACACTAACTATAGCGTTAATTCCATGCTCAATTTTAAACGTGCATAGATTTGTCGATTTGCAATGTGATAAAACTGGTACGAGCGCATTTATACACATTGCACACGCAGCTAGATCTAATCGTTCCGTCCCTCTTCTATTGAAGTGCATTTTGCTATTGTGCATACAAAACGATTAAGCTTTTGCATTTGAATGGCTCAGCCATTCGGCAAACTTTAGCCTCTCTTACTCTCGTCCTCACGCTCCTCATCACCACCGCACCGCGCCGCACCACTCATCCATGTGCCAATTCCATGTGCCAATTTCCAATTGTGTCTACAAACACGTTTGCAATTGATCGTACCCATTTAAATGTTATATAATGGTGTTTCAAGTTTTCTGCATTTAATTCAGTAATTCTCATTTGATTTTGGTTATTGAGATTCTTCAAGACCAGCACATGTTAACGGTGGGATATGGGAGGAAAGCGGTTTTTCAATTTCGCACTTTCAGTACAGTATTTTTCCTCATATTTCAATCAACTGAAAAGTGACTCCATTGTTCGACACAAAATAATTGAAAAGTATTTTTGCAATTGCTTCGTGTTTGACAATGGAATCCAAGTCGTATCAGTTGCGAACATATATACATACACAACACAACGCCAACAATGCACACAAACAAAAGAAAACAACCAAAAAAAGAACGAAGACAACATAGTCGACAGGATTGAATGCTGACATGTTTTCAATGCACAACTTTCACACACATACAGAGCGAGAGAGGGACTGCATCTGTCTAGTAATAGCTGAAGTTATTAAGATTAC